TGGTATGCCTTCGAGCTGGCGTCGCGGCCAAGTCCTTCCTCATCGTCGCCGCCCCCTCCTGTACCCTTCTCCGCCTCCCTCTGGTCCTCCTGCTCCTCCCGCTCCTTCCACTCCAGCTCCTGCTGCTGCTGCTCGCCCTCGTCCTCCAGGAAGGACTGGGCAGCTTCTCCTCGCCGCCGGGGACCTTGCGCTCCAGCGCCAGGCGGGCCAGCTGCCCAGCACGGTCGGCCAGAGCGCTGCCCTCGGCAAGCTTGGCAGCGTCCCGCGGCGGGAGCCCCGAGCTGCCGCGGGGCTGCTGTGGCGACCGCAGGGCCGCGGGCGTCCCGCGAGCCCGCCGGCGCCCGCCTGGCGCGGGAGAAGCTGCTGCGAGGCGTCCCCAGCCAGAGGCCCCCACGCGAGGCCGGCGAGGATCCAGCCCTTGACTCCTCCTCCTCCTCCTCCTCCTCCTCCTCCTCCTCCTCCTCCTCCTCCTCCTCCTCCTCCTCCTCCTCCCCCTCCTCCTGCTGTCCTCCCCGTTTTCCATCCACAAACGCTGCCCCTGCGGGGCGCGGGGCCCTCCTTGGGCGACGTTGAAGACTTCTTGCATTCCGAGGTCGCGATGCGGCCCGCGTCGCACGTCGATGCTCATGACAGCGGCGCCGCGTCTGCGGAGGGCCTGGCTCAGGTGACCTGTGCCAGCGAACACCTCCAAGCGGACCTTGCACCCGCGGGGGCGGGCCTTTCTCAGGGCCGCCCGAAGCTCGCTCCGCAGGCGCTTGATCAGCGCACCTCGAGAGACTGGAGGTCGAGCAGCACGCGCTGGTGGAGCCTCTCGAGCTGCTCGCTGATCCTGGCGTGCATCTGGCGGCGCTGGGCGCTGAGAGGCGGGCGCCACTTGCCCCGGGACCTCAGTCCGAGCGCCCTGTCGAGACTGGCTCCACCGTGACGGAGCCCGGGGGGCGTTGGGCACAGCACCCCGCAGCCCACGGCCACTGCGGCCCTCTTCTGCTCTGCCAAGAGCTCGCAGTACACGATCGGGAGCAGGCGCTGAGGCGTGGCCCCCTGCTCTGTCAGCTCAAGCAGAGCGCGGCCGTCCCACTGGTGCTCGGGGAGGTCCAGGGCCGCGTAGGAGTCCCCGAGGTTGGTCCTGGAGGGCGCCCCGAGGTCGTCCGAGTGGAGCACGAAAATGACTTGGCCCAGGACCCCGGGCATCCCGGCGATCGGCCTGATGACCCGCCTCCCGAGCAGCGCGAGGCCCGCGCCCGGCTGGCAGCGGGCGACGCACAGCAGGGTGATGAGGTGGCCCATCAGCAGCTTGCTGGGGGCGAAGAGCGACCCGGCAAGGCCTGCGGCCACCAGCCAAGGGATCGGCGGCCGAGGCAGGGGCGGGCGCAGGCGGGCCCACCCTGCTGCAGCCCGGTAGGCCAGCGGGCGCGTGGACCGCACGGCGTGGGGGCCGCCGCCGCGGTCGAGGAGCACCGACGGGGAGTCGCCCAGGTGCTTGTCCCACGTGCTGGCCGCCCCCTCGGGCAGCGGCAGGGCTGCAGGCCAGTCGGCGAGCTCCATCATCGCCCGCGTGTGCTGCACCTGCGTGGGGAGCCGCCCGTTGCTCTGCGCCAGCCCTGACACCCGCGGCGCCAGCCACTCGATGTCCGCCTCGGCGGCGGGCCCGGGCGAGGGCGCGGGAGGCGAGCGCGGAGGGCGTTGCGCCCCAGGGCCGCGCGTCGGCCGCCCGGGAGGCGGCGGCAGGCGTGAGCGAGCCTCCAGCCCAGCGCCCTCGGCGCGGTCCAGCCCGGCAGCTCACTCGGCGTTGCGGGTCCTCTGGAGCTGCGCCTCTGGCGATCGACCCGTCTGCGGGTGGGCCGCGCGCGGCGGGGTCTCTGCGGGGTCCAGGCCGCCCTCCATGGCAGCCCGCGGGCGCGGGCCGCGCGCCCGGCATCCGAAGCCCTCGCATCGAAGCCGAGTCGCTAGGGTTCAGCTCCGAAGGACACCAGCGGAAGGAGGGGCGGATGCTGGCGGCAATGTGATTGGCGGACCACCCGCGGCAGGCAGCGATGAGCGAGAATACCGAAGCTCTTCCCCAACGTAGAGAGCCCGACTGTGATGACGATGGAGGGAGCGAGCTGTGCGTCGGACGCACCAGGTGAGCGCCGGTGCCTCCAGATTGCGAGTTGAATCTGGCCGGCGATAGGCGCGGGAGGCAACTGTGGTCCACCCTTCGCCTAGCAGCAGCTCGCGCGGCACCTCCTGGAAGCGGGCATGCCTCCCGAGGAGAAGGGCCGCAGCGTCGGGCAGCCTCAAAAGCTCTTCCTCATCATGCAGAGCGTGCTCACAGCGGCTGCCCCCCGCGGTGGCGAGCAGGCCGCGGAAACGAGCGCGCTCGCGCAGTCGCCCCGCGCGGCCCACGTCAGCGCTGCCCCGCAGGCTCTCGGCGACACCCAGCCCCCACTCGGAGGCATCGTGGGCGGTGACCACCGGCAGCCACTGCAGGTCGGAGCGGGCCACGATGGTGGGCAGCAGGGCATGCGCCCAGCGGAGCTCACGCTGCGCGCTGGGCCACAGGGGCGCCCGGCGGCGCCCCAGCTTCCTGCTGAACTGGTAGACCGCGGAGAGGCCGGAGAGCAGGTCGCGGCGCAGCATCATCATGGAGACGAGGTGCCCGATGAGGCGCTCCAGCTCCAGGCCCGATGGGGCAGCCCCCGCCTGCAGGACGTACTCGAGGGCCTTGGCCACTCGCCAAACTTCCTGGGCGTGGGCCGCCAAAGCTGCTGGTGAGCCGCGCACTCGAAGCCCAGCAACTCCAGCGATCCTGAACTCGGGTCGGGAATGTCCAGGTGGGCCTTCGCGCCCACTGTCCTCGAGCGTCGTCAGCATGTGGGCGATCCCGTTCACGGCCTCGCACTGTTTGTCGGAGACCACGGCCAGGTTGTCGGTGTAGCAGAGCTTAGAGGGGCCCTCGCACGTGGGCGTCACCGGCACCTTGTCCCTCACCCACGGGGCCGAGGGCACGCACCAGGACAGCAGGTGCTCGTGAGCTCTCTGAACAAAGTGCACCGCCCAAGACCAGCCCATTGGCACGACTCGCGCCTGGAAGGCGCACTCGACGTCGCCCTCTGTGAGCCCCAGCCTCTTGCGCCACCCTGGCGGGCAGGTAGCGCGCCAAAATCGACGGGAGCACGAAGAGGGGCCGAAGGCTGGCGGGCAGCTCGTACTGGTAGAAGCAGACCACGATACCGGCGGGCGCCACCCAGAGCCGTACTCCAGGCTCGCTCTCGAGGTCCGCCAGCGACTCACCGCTGGCCAGCGAAGTGTGCGGAGGAGGGGCAAAGTGGCAGTTGCTCCGTCGCGCGTCAAAGATCAGCTTCAGCAAGCCATCCTTGCGCTTGACGAAGAAGGCCCCCGAGGTCTCCTTGACGACGGTGGCCTTCTCCAGGATGCCCTTGACCAGGAGCTCCGCCAGGAAGCGCCCGCGCATGAAGCCTCTCAGCCTCAGCACGGGGTCCAAGGCCATGGCGGGCCCGAGCTCGCGCAGCGCCGCCTGCACCTACGCGGGGTCGCGGAGAAGGCCGCTGCCCTCTGTCAGCATGCACTGCAAGTCGTCTGGGACCACGTCGCACAGCGGCACAGCCCCAGCACGTGACTGCGGCAGGGAGATCCTGCCAGGCTGGTAAGTTGCATCAAAACTGTCGCCCACGCCCGAGTCGATGTAGCCGCCGCCGCTGCCCTGGAGCACCTTCCATGCTCCCAGGGGGTCAACGTCAGCCGGTGGAGGTCCGCGCCCACCATGGAGCTTGGCCACGGAGCGCACCGCAGAGGCCTGGGCGGCGGTCGCTCGGGCATTGCTGGGCGCCCTGCCGCCGCCGCCAAGGTCGCTCAGCGCGTCCAGGCCCGCACGGGGCCACACCTCCTCGCCCCGACGCCGCCTGGCCATCCGCTTGCCCGCTGCGGAGAGCCCGCCGCCCGCCGCGCCGAGGAGCGGCTCGTCGAGGGCCCGCCCGCCCGGGAAGGGCAGCAGGTCGCGAGGACGGCCATCAGGAGGCTGAGGGCCAAACGCCATGCCCGAGCCGACCACCGCTGGCTGCGGGCGCAAAAGCGCCGGCGACCTCTCCCGGAGAGGCCTACCGGCGAAATGTGCTTCAGGAGCGGCCTCGCCGGCCGCGGCCGCGCGCCCTCGCGCGCGCGACGCTGCCGCGGGCCTTGCCCTGCTGCTGCTGGGCCTGACTGCCTGCTGTGGCCCCATGCGCGAGCCGCGTCTCCTCCCTCCCCTTGACCTTCTCCGTGAGGATGGCGCTCTCTGGTGCGCAGAGCGCCTCCAAGAGCTGGTAGCGCCACGAGAGGACCACGAACGCCTCCAGCTCGGTGCAGATGAGCCGATCAAAGACGCAGGCCCTCTCCAGCACTTCTGTGATGTAGGCGTGCTCCTCGACACCAGCGTCGCCGTGCGAGACCTGCGGCAGGTTGCGCCTTCCGACGTGGCGCTGCGTTGGAACCCAGCCTGCGTGACGGACCCCGTGGAGGAGCCACCTGCACGTCCGAGGGCCCGCGACCGCCCCGCCAGCCTGCACGGTCTCCGAGAGGAAAACCACCGCGCCGCCGTACCCACCGAAGCGGGGGCTGCCCCCGTCGAAGGGATGTTTGTTGTTTTATGTTACAGGGGATGATGTGGGGGGGCCCTCATGGTTCGTGGTTGGCTACCAGTCGCCTGGGGGAGGGGGTGTTTATTAGTAGGGAACACTGATAAACCCCTCGCCGAAGTGGAAGAAGGGGGTTGGAAGAGGAACCGCTCTAGACCACCTGCGCCCAGAGGGCTGGTGGGATTTGGGCACGCCCCTCACGCGCTTCGTGGCCCCAGTGGGTTTCACCGGAGGATTCGGGTCAATTTCGGCACACCCCTCACACATTTCGTGGCCCCAGTGAGCTCCACCGCAGGTTTCGGGTCAAGTCCACAGGGGGCTCCACCTAAGGCCTCGGGTCCAGTTCGGCACGCCCCTCATACGCTTCGTGGCCCCATCCGTACGTAACAGTTTTGGCTCAAGCCATTCGGGCTCGATCAATTTCACTTTATATTTCATGTCGCATACCCGTGGCGATGGGGAACCTGAGGCCTCTGTTCATCGGTATCTGCGTGGCCTTCGTGCTCGCCTTCGTTGCGTGGCCTTCGTGCTCGCCTTCGTGCTCGTCCCCGTTGTGGATTGCCTCGTCCTCGAGGGTGCGGCTCCCATGCTGGCAAGTGGTAAAAGCTTCACTGGTTTTCGTTTGTCTATGTTTCCACTTATTTCTCTAGCACCCAAGCACCCAAGCAAGCAACCAAGCACCCAAGCAAGCCAAGTCATCACCTACTCGTCGCTTGTTGTAGTATCCCTGTGTGAAGATACGCGAGGGGTGAGATTGGAAATGGCCGAAGCTGTGAAGTATCTGGACGTGAACAGCACTCTGATGATGGTCATACAAAAGTGTGGAAGAAGTGTCGACGTTGCCCACCTGGAACGTCTCGGAATACACAGCCAGAATATCCAGCTCATCAATCTCACTAACGTTGGCCGCAATGATCATTCCTATGCCTGGGCCCTGCGCCATCTTGGCGAGGGTCTCACAGCGCATCTTTCTGCTAACGCGTCAGTTTTTTTTTTTGAAAGACAATATGAGACTGCATTCACCTGAGATGCGCAAGTGCAATTTCTCAGAAGTCCTAGCCGACTTGCGAAGCCATGGGTTTGGTTGCTTCCTCACAATGCAGGAACCGGCAACAGATTTCCATTTGGTTGCCGAGCTAGGCAAGTTCCAAATTGCAAGGTACAAATCGGTGGACAAATCGTATGAGTGTACAGGCTTACGCCACATCCGCCGACCCCTTGTATTCTTGACTATAGTCCTCTGTGGGTCCGGTGTCCGGGATGTCCAGGGTGTCCGGGGGACGTGTCCGGGGGACGTGTCCGGGGTGTCCGGGGGTGTCCGGGGTGTCCAGGGAGTCCGGCGTGTCCTGGGTGTCCGGGGTGTCCGGGGTGTCCGGGGTGTCCGGGGTGTCTGGGGTGTCCGGGGTGTCCGGCGTGTCCGGGGTGTCCGCGTACGTGTCCGGAGTGTCCGGGGTGTCCGGGGTGTCCGGGGTGTCCGGGCTGTCTGGGCTGTCCGGGGTGTCCGGGGTGTCCAGGGTGTCCGGGGTGTCCAGGGTGTCCGGGGTGCAGGTGTCTGGGGTGTCCGGGGTGTCCGGGGTGTCCGGCGTGTCCGGGGTGTCCGGGGTGTCCAAGGTGTCCGGGTTGTCCGGGGTGTCCGGGGTGTCCGGGGTGTCCGGGATCTCCTCCTCCAATTCCTCTTCCTTCTCCTCCTCCTCCTCCTCTTCCTCCTCCTCCTCCTCCTCCTCCTCTTCCTCCTCCTACTCCTACTCCTAATCCTCCTCCTCCTCCCCCTCCTCCTCCTCCTCCTCCTACTCCTCTTCCTCCTCCTCCTCCGCCTCCTACTCCTCTCTGCTGCCTCCGGGGCTTGGGTCGTCAAGCCGTCTCTTGACGGTCCCAGGGCCTGGGTCGTCGTCGTCGTCGTTCAGGGTCGGCGGCACCGGCCGTAAGGCCGTAAACCTTCACTCAGGGATGGGGCGTTCAGTGGGGCTGGCGGGACATTGAATGTAAGCTTCAATATGTGATGGGCCAAGGTAGGGGCAAACTATTTTACAACCGCCGAATGCGCGGTTCGGGCGGACGATACATGAAATACAACCGTCACTCAGCAATGGGGAGTTCAGTCGGGCGGGCGGGCGGGACATCCAATGTAGCCTTCCCTCTGTCATGGGACAAAACTCTAGGAACATATCTCGCAACCACCGAAGACGCCGGTCGGGCGGGCGGGACATTAAACGAAACCTTCACTCAGGGATGGGGCGTCCGGTCGGGCGGGCGGGGCATTATGTAGCCTTCATGATGGGCCAAGGTAGGAGGAAACGATGTTACAACCGCCGACAACGCGGGTCGGGCGTGCGGGATATGAAATGCAACCGCCACTCAGAAATGGCATTTTGGGGAGATCAGTCGGGCGGGCGGGCGGGACATTGAACGTGACTTTCACCATGTGATTGGACACGGCTTGATGAACATATATCGCAACCGCCGGAGACGCTGGTCGAGCGGGCGGGACATTACATGAAACCTTCACCCAGGGATTGGGCATTCAGTCGGGCGGGCGGGACATAACATCTAACATCGGCTCTGTAACAGATAACAGATAAGGCTGGGGCGGGATATCTCGCCACCGCCGAAGACGCCGGTCGGGCGGGCGGGACATTAAACGAAACCTTCACTGAGGGATGGGGCGGCCGGTCGGGCGGGCGGGACATTAGATGTAACCTTCACTGTGTGACGCGCCAAGGCAAAACGAAATAATGTTACAACCACCGAAAACGCGGGTCGGGCGGGCGGGACATTATACATGAAACCTTCACTCAGGGATGGGGCGTTCGGTCGGGCGGGCGGGACATTAAATGCAACCTTCATTCAGGGATGGGGCGTTCGGTCGGGCGGGCGGGACATTAAATGCAACCTTCACTCAGGGATGGGGCGTTCGGTCGGGCGGGCGGGACATTACATGTAACCTTCACTCTGACATGGGACAAGGTTGGGAGAAAATATGGTGGAGCCGTCGGGCGGGCGGGACATGAAATGCAACATTCACTCAGGAATGGGGAATTCAGTCGGGTGGGCGGGCGGGACCTTACATGAAGCCTTGCGTCGTCGACGTCGTCGTCGTGGTTCGCCGTGCGCCGTCGTCGTCCGTCGTCGCCGTCGCCGCATCGGCCGCCGCCGCCGCCGCCGCCGCCGCCGCCGCGTCGTCGTCGTCGTCGTCGTCGTCGTCGTCGTCGTCGTCGTCGTCGTCGTCGTCGTCATCGTCGTAGGGGGGGAGGGGGGGGAGGGGTGAACGAGGGGGGAGGAGGAGGGAGGGAGGGAGGGAGGGGGGGCGGGGAGGGGGGGAGGGAGTCCTTGGCCGGCGGCGAATAAAGGGGGGGGGGTCGTGACCCCCCCCGGTTTTCCGGGGGGGGGTGGGGTGGGCCTATCGCTTTCTCAGTTTTTTTGAGGGGTGACCCCCCCCTCGGTTTTCTGCCAGCAGCAGCACAACAATCCCTTTCCAAGGTTTGTTTTTGCAGGGCCGCGGGGGCTCCAGGGGCTCCCGAACAGTAGGTCGACAAGGGCTACTGGTCGAAGTGGCGGGTGGGGTCGGCCAGGCAGGGCGCTAAAGTGTGGGGCCTCGTGGAATACGAGGAGAACTTGGGTGGACGGGTGGGATCTGGCTGGCGGGGCACCGACGAGCGGGCCGGGCGGGGCGGACCAACGCGCGGGTGGGGGCCAGCGGGCGGGACATTAGAATGGAGCGCGCAATCGAGCATTTTTCATTACCGCAATAATACGACAGCGCATCATCGCAGCAGTGCTTCGCCGCGTCGCGCGGCAGCGGAACGAATGGCGAGCGCCGCTCTGCCCGAGCCAGCGCGCGGCCTTCACCGACAAACTGTTGGACACGGAGGCTGGGAGGGCAAATCGAAGCGGGCCGCGCAACGCTTTGCGGGCAGGCCCCGAGGCGCGCCACATCTACATATTTATTTATTTATATATATATATATATATATATATATTCCCATCAACTCATTTCCCCCAAACGCAAGAAAAGCAGGAGGGCGAATGCTCGCGGGCACGGAGGCCTTTACTTGCATCGGCCCGGGGCGTCGTCCCGGGGCATTTGGCATCGGCCCGGGGCGTCGTACGAAGGGTTAGCCACAATTTGGTCCCAATCCCCGCCGCGCCGCTGGAAAAACGCAGCCTCGGCGAAGGCGGTGAGAGTGTTCGAGTTGACGCGAACGGGAGGGATGTCAGGGATCGCCGCGTCAAGGGCAGTCGCAACCATCCGTTTTGCCTCCTCCAACGCCGCCTCATCCATGGCGCTGGCGACCTTGTTGCCCGTGCTGAAGCCAGAGCTCTTGCGCGTCTGGGGGTAGTTCATGTTGAAGATCGGCAGCGCGAGCGGGCTCAATGAGCCAGGGAAGCTTTGCGTGCGAGCGCCGCTGGAGCACGCCATCAGCTGGGCCATGAGCGACACGCCGAATGGGAACTCGCGATGGAAAGCGCGCGCTGCATGTCGCATGATGGCATCGGCAGCAGCGCTGCCGAATATGTCTCGGATCTGGAAATGGTCGTCGACTGCGCCCCAAGACGCGCGCATCTCAGACCGAAACTGAGGCGCATCACCGGTGCAATGCACAGGCGCGCGCTGCCCATCACCCCTGATGTGGATGGTCGCCAAGCCAGGGGGAGCCGCCGCCGCTGCGCGCATCCGAAGGCATGACGGGCGGAACATCGCGGAATCGCAGCAGCGAGTAGGGAAGTGAGATCTCCGTGGCAATTCTTGCTCCGTGCGCGAGGCCAGCGAAAGCAAGGGCTGCTGAAATTGCTGCGGGAAGACAAGGCACAGTGTCTGGTGAAATCTCCGCTCCGCGCTCCGTCGCGGTTGGTGCTGCGGTCTCCAATGAGGCCGCTGCCCACGAGACCCACCATTGTGCCAATGCAGCCGGCGCTCGTGAACAACGGCCTGGCGATTCTGAGTGCCTCCGGCCCAGCGCCTAGCATGATAACTCAACATAAGAACTACTCATAAGCACGCCAGATAGCCCCATTATGCGTAAACGATTAGACTGCCACTAGAACCACGCGCGCTTCGCGCGCGCTTAGGTTCTAACATGCTCTAGTTGTAGTCTACGAAGTGTTCGGAACCGGAAGGCGTAGATTGCCCCGCGGATCGTGCCGCTCAGGAAGCTTCTCTTGCGGCCCTAAGGACGGACTTGGCGCAGCGCCCCCACGCCCATGTCGGCGCACTTCCCGCAGGGATCGCGCCCTGCAGGGAGCTCCACCTTCGCTCCCAGAGGCAAGGTTCGCATAGAGGCACGCCATCCACGCGGACCGTGCCTCGCAAGTAACTGCATTGGCGGCGCCATAGGGAAGCTTCACAGCGCCGCCCCGCTCACTTCGGCACCCCTCTCAGACAGATCGCGGCCCGCAAGGGGTTCCACGAGCGGCCCCAGAGACAGGCTTCGCACCCCGCCCTCCCGCCTACGTCAGCACGCCTCTCACGCGGATCATGGCCCACGGGGATCCCCACCTACCGCCGCATAGGCAGGACTCGCACTGCGCCCCCCGCCTCGCCGTTGCGGCACGCCCCATCACGCGGATCGCGCGCGCGCAAGGAGAGCAGCCTAAAAGCCCCGAGACAAGGTTCGCACGGCGCCGCCCCGCCCGCGTCGGCACGCCTGCGACGCGCATCATGCCCCAGGAGGAGGCCCCCCTCCCATGGCGCCAATGGGCAGCTTCGCGCGGCACCCCCCCGCCCATTTCGGAACATGCCTCGGGGATATCCGAATTATTTGGCATATCCTTCACGCGGATCGTGGCCAACCAGGAGTTCAACGCACCCCTCCACGCGGGCTCCGCAGCAACCATCTTTCCGCATTGCCCCGCGGCACGCAATGTATGAAGAGAGACCCGCGATCTGCACTCCACATGTCTGCGCAGGGATGGGTCCGTCACCAAACCTACTGCTTGCTTATCTATGGCCTTCGGCCATGCCGCTACCGTCCCTGAGTTTGGGGCAGCTGATTCTCGGATACATGTACTTTGGGGTCTCTTGGCGTGCTTCTCTGGCGCCTCGTGGAGCGAGTTTTGAAGCTTCTCGTGGCCTGTCTTGTGTCCTGCGGGAGCTTCTCGGGGCCTCTTTGCGGGCCCTTGGGCCTCTTGGGCTCTTGGGTGCCCGCTGCGGCCCCGGGGGCGCGGTCGTGGCGGAGGGCTCACATGTCAATTGGCATTCCCCCTCTTAGACTCCACTTGGGGCCCTCTTGGGCGCTTCTTGGACCGTCTTGGGTCTCATTTGGGCCGTCCTGGGGCCCGCTTGGAGGCCTCTGGGGCCGTCTTGGGTCGATCTGCGGGGCCTCTTGGGCCGTTTAGGGCGCTGTGGAGACCCAAAGTGCGGATATGCTAAAAGTGCACGATTTCGACCAGGAGTGGAACAATTTTGGCATCCTGGGGCCATCTCGGGGTGCATGTTGGAGCCTTCTTGGAGCGTCTTCGGGGCCTCTTGAGCTGTCGTCGCAACATGTGGGCGCCTTCGGCCCTGTCAGGTCGCCCCGATCGCTTTCGGTGGCCTCCTGAACTGTTTCGAGAAGCGGGGGGAAGCCCAGGAGGCCCCGGAAGGGGTCAAACATCTTGTGGGCCAAAGCAGGGGGGGAAGACGAAATCCGGGAGAGTGTCCCGGCCTGTGTCCCGGGCCCCCCGTACCCCAGCATATTATATATATATACATATACATATAAATATATGTGTATATATGTATATGCACATATGTATATATGTATGTGTATATATATGTATGTAAATATACATACATACAAACATACATACATAAATACACAGATGTATGTATATATATAGTTGTGTGTACATGCGTGTGTAATTATACATGCATATATGTGTGTATATACACATGTATAATATCATACAGGTTCAGCACACCAATAGGTACGTATATGTATACGGGGCGCGCGCATATCGGTGCCCCTGCTTCTTTGTCAACGTCATCGTCTGAACGACTCACTTAAAATGTACAGCCCCCTCGCATAGTGCACCTGTGTAGGCGCGCCCGTATAAATCTAAAAGAATCCGCGCGTGTCCACGCGCGCGCTCAGTCGGAGCAAGCGCGAGCGACTCAGGCGCTCCCCCGCCAGACTGACCTGCCGACGCCTAGTCAAATCACTTGCGCGCGGCCCAAGTCCCCGCCTGCCACTCGAAGCGCTTCTCCTGCACGTTCACCTTCGCGGGGTCTGCTTCGAAAGTGGAGAAGTAGTCCACAATCCTCGACCGCCTGGTCATGGAATCGAGCTTGAGCGCGTCGGGGGCCTTCACGCGCGGGGCATCGTTGCACTCCCAATTGAAGCGGTGTTCCGCAGGTTGACCATTAGAGCCGCCTTGCCGCAGTTCGGCCCCACGGGGAACTCTCCGCCCGAGAACGCGTTCTTCAGTAAATCGCCGCGCGCCGCCGTCGTCGCGGGCGCCTCCTGTATAGTGGCGGCCCGACAGAATGCAAAATTGATACCCTGCTTGCGACGCTCCTCCTCGTTCTCGAAGCACGTGGACGGGATGTACTTGCGGGTATCCGAGAAGACGTTGCGACGGAAGGCAGAAAGCAGGGGCTTGGAATTGCCGCCGCCCCCGACATGGCACAAGCAGACGTGCGTGTCTTGCTTCCCCAGGAGGCCGAGGATGTCGCTCGCGCGCACCATGCGACGGCCTTCGGGGTTCCCCGCGAACGCAGTCATTAGCGCCATAGAAAACTTCTTTCGGTCGGAGTCGGGCGGCTTGTAGGTCAGGTGGTTGTGCAGGGGGGGCATTTCATGTGGATGTAGCAGTCGTCCTTCGCTGCTTCCTGGATGCACTCAATGCTCCCGCCACACTGCGTTCCACCCGTGGCAGAGGATATGTTAGCGCGCGCACTGTCAAAGCATAATATGGCGTGCTCCGTGACATGGCGGTCCTGCTGAAAGAACTCGGCGTACGCCTTCAGGGCGCCAGGCCCTTTGGTTGCATTCGCGAAACGCCATGGCATGTTGGAGAGCGAATACGCCGCCGCGGTTGCCCAATGCTTCGCGTTGCGCAGCTCGAAGTCTCCCACGGGGGCGAAGTTCGCCCACTCCTGGAAGTTCTTCAAGTAGGGAATGACGCTCGCCCCGGTACGTTCCACTTCCGCCTTCGCCGCATCCATCAGCACGAATTTGGCCGCCGTCATCGCCTGCCCCATGCGGATGACGAGGCGCTGAGGCATCGCGCCGACGGCCAGCCAGGCCCAGTCCTCGAGCTCGCACGCGGCATCGGGGTGAGCGCGAAGCTCGCCCCCGCAGAGCAAGCCGACAACGCGGGCGAGGAGGAAGTCGCTCTTTGGGTCCCAGGTCATGCCCAAGTCTACGTGCCGAGCGACAATGGACAATGCATTCTTTTTGACGAGATCCACGCTCGCCCAAGCCTCGCCGAAGCCAAGTGCCAACTTGTTCGCTAGCCGCTTGGTCTCCTCCAAGAGGGTGGCCTTCGGCCCTGTCGCCTCTGCCAGAACCTGGAATGTCAAGTAGCTGGCATTCTGCTCGTCAAGCCCGTCGTCTTTCCACCTCTCTACGTCGGCGCTGCGAGCCGCCGCAGCCAGGCGCGGGCGCGCGCGGCGCTCGACGGGAACACCTGCTGGCGCCGCCGTTCAACCGACTGGCGTGGACAGCGAGAGACGCGATGTGGCGAAGTGGGCGGAGTCGCGGCCGTCTGGGCGCAAACCTTCTTTAAGCCAAAACGCCAGCAGTGAGGAGAGGACTCCTTGGTATGATTGGTTAACGTGTTTCCTACGTTTCCCAACCTGCTAGGTTTTCTCTCGGGTTCCTTAATGGGGGTCCTCCATAACCCTCTCGTAGGTCGCTCGCGCGTCCCCCCCTGGGCCTTTCCTCGGGGATCCTCCTGGAATGCCTTTGAAGGCTCCCCTACTGCGCCCCCCAACCGTGTCATGCTGGAGCGCGAGCCTGCTATCGGCAACTCGTGGATGCTGTGTCGTTGAATCCGATTGCTTCCTCGTGGTTCCCCATCTCTCTTGGTTGTGGTGCACGACGATGTTTTTCTTTGGGAAGACACCGTAAGCTGGCTCCCTCTTGCTCGCTCAGTCGGAGTCCGAGGAGGCATCGCTGCCCACGACGTCTGACGACGACGTGGACGAAGAAGACGCTGAAGACGAGCTCGAGGAACCCTGCTTTTTGGCAGGGCGCTTCATCACAACCGCCTCGTCGCTGAGCTTCCCCAAGCGCCTCTTCTCACGGCTGCGCCGCGCCGCCTCCTTGTGAGCCGCCTTCTTCTCGCCTGCCGCCATCTTCTCGCGAACGCAAATGGAAGCCATCGGGGCCGCCTGCTTGCGACGAAAGCGCCTTTTTCGCGGAAGGGGCGGGGACCTTCCAACCGTTGTTGGTTGCGAGCTGGGCAGCTGGGCTGGGGTCTTGGTGCTCTTCTTGATATGTTTCCCATCCCGCGGCACCGCCAGGGAGCACGGCGTGAACCTTGCAACAAAACAGTGCTTGAGCCTCAAACCAGCTACGGAAGACTGAACTGATGCTGGTGACGATGCTGATGACATGCGTCAGCCGGAAGAAATTGCCCATGACAATGCGGGTGAGGAATATTACATTCAATATGCTGTTGATGACGATGCTGATGACATGCCGTGCTCTGAGGATGCTGTTGGTGACGATGGTGATGACGAGTATGACTATCAAAATCTTGCTGATGACGATGGTGATGACGAGTATGGTTTTGAACATGCTGCGGATGACGATGCCGATGACATGCATCAACCTGCTGATGATATCGATGATGATGCTGATGATGATGGTGATTCCCAGGCTGCTGTCGATGACGATGGTGATGACGTCTCCTCCTCCTCCTCCTCCTCCTGCTCCTTCCCCTCTTCCTCCCCCTCCTCTTCCTGGGTGGTCCGAAGGTGGAGGAGGAGGAGGGGGGAGACCAAGAGGTGCTTCTTCTGGATGGTCCTCCTCCTGGGTGTTCCGATGGCGGAGGTGGAGGTGGTGATGATAACGAGCATGACTATCCAGACCTTGTTGATGACCATGCTGATGACAATCATTACTTCCAACGACGCCGTGCTGCTGATGACCCCTGGCCCCTGGGGGGAAGGATGCAGCAACAGAAAAAACGGCCCCTGGATCCACTGGCCCCGTTGTTTTTTTCCTAGGCCAGGGAAACAACCGGGACCAGTGGATCCAGAGGGCAGTTTTTTTTTGTTTTTTCCTCTGGGACCTTCCCCCCAGGGCCAGACCCCCTCAGTCCCCTTCGCACAAATGGAATATATTTGTAATTTGCCACAGAGGGAATCTGTGTGTAATTCCGCCACAAACGGAATTTATTTGTAGGCCCCCAGAAAGGGAATCGATGCGCGACCCCCACGAACGAGGTAAACAGGTAAACAGACAGGAAAAGAAAACGGGCGCCCCCGCCAACAGTCTTCGGGGCAAAAAAAGCAGGGGCACCGACCGATACGCGCGTGCACCCACGTGATTTTCGCTCCCGGCGCCTGTGCTGCCCCCTGGAAGTTCCAAAAACAATCGGCGTTAGTTTCCCTTTATTCACAAGGAAAACCATGTGTTGAAAGTGGTCAAGACGATACATGTTACCTCCTTTGGCTGGAACGATCGCCTGTCGCAGGTTACCACTCCAGCCTAGTGCGCGCTAGAACGATAACCTTTCTCAGGTTACCTCTCCAGCCTAGGGCACGCGGGCGCGATAACCTTGCTCAGGTTACCTCGCCCGCGGCTGGAACGGTAACCTTTCTCAGGTTACCGCTCAAGCCTAGTGCGCGCTACAACGATAACCTTTCTCAGGTTACCTTTCCAGCCTAGAGCGCGCCGGCGCGATAACCTTGTTCAGGTTACCTCGCCCGCGGCTGGAACAGTAACCTTTTCTCAGGTTACCGCTCCAGCCATGCGCTTGAAGGTTCGTTTCACCCTCCAAATGGAGACCATATTCTTGCTCAGGTTACGGATTGCTAGAGCGATGCAAGGTTTCTCAGGTTACCTCTCCAACGGAACGCTGGCGGAAACGATCGCCTTGCTCAGGCGACCCCTCCCGCGGCTAGAACGGTAACCTTTCTCAGGTTACCTCTCCAGCCTACTGCGAACGAGATAACCTTGTTCAGGTTACCTCGCCCGCGGCTGGAGCGATAACCTTTCTCAGGTTACCACTCCAGCCACGCGCGCGAAGTTACGTTTCACCCGAACACTGGGACCAAATGGAGACGATGATGATGATGATGATGGTGATGATGATGATGATGATGATGATGACGATGATGATGATGATGATGATGATGATAATGATGATGATGATGATGATGCTGATGCTGATGCTGATGCTGATGCTGATGCTGATGCTGATGATGATGATGATGACGATAATGATGATGACAATGACAATGGTCATGATGATGAGGAGGAGGAGGAGGATGCTGATGACGACGACGATGCTGAGGATCATCATCATCACGACGACGATGATGATGACGGGGAGGAGGAGGAGGAGGAGGAGGAGGAGGAGGAGGAGGAGGACGAGGAGGACGAGGAAGGAGGAGGAGGAGGAGGAGGAGGAGGGGAGGAGGAGGAGGAGCAGGCAGGATGGGGGGCATGGGCAAAAGGCAAGACGAGCAGATTGAGGCAGTATTGAAAAGCACGATGAGTAGGCAGGAGGAAGAAACAGGATGATGAGTCGTCAGGAAGGGCATGATGAGGAAACCAGAGGATGCGGGCGAGCAGGATGCGGGGGAGGACGACGACGAGAAGGCGATAGTAGAATGGTGATAGTGAGGCATGATGGTGACGCATGTAGATGATGATGATCAGGAGGAAGGGAGGGAGGAAGAGGAGAAGGAGGAGGAGGAGGAGGACGACGACGAAGGTGTCTGAGGTGTCCGGGGTGTCCGGGCCGAGTGTCCGGGGGACGTGTCCGGGGTGTCCGGGTGTCCGGGGTGTCCGGGGGACGTGTCCGGGATGTCCGGGGTGTCCGGGGACGTGTCCGGGGGGCGTGTCCGAGGTGTCCGGGGGACGTGTCCGGGGGACGTTTCCGGGGGACGTGTCCGGGGGACGTGTCCGGGGGACGTGTCCGGGAGACGTGTCCGGGATGTCCGGGGTGTCCGGGGGACGTGTCCGGGGTGTCCGGGGTGTCCGGCGGACGTGTCCGGGGACCTGTGGGGGACTCTAATGGTATTCTTAGGTCGCTCAGGTATCAGTTTTTTTGTATTTCCCTTCCCCAGGGGCTCTTGGGGGGTCCTGGGTGCCTCTGTGGGGGATGAGGCAGAGGAGTGGGAAGATAAATAGATGGAGGAAGGTGAGGATGAGGACACGGCGTCAAGCGGGCTCTGGTAGGGGTCCAGGGATTCATTTGGAGGGGATATCGTCTTCACGCCCCGTCGGTTTTCGGGGGTCCTGTCCGGCGCAAGGAGAACGTCTACAGCCCCAGGGGGAACAGAGGCGACCGTACACGGTGGAGGATAAGATACGTTGGCTCGGGTACCACGACAAGGAGTGCGCGAGCTTGCCTGGGTGGCTGCCGCTGGCCAAAGGGATGCCCGTGGCTTTGGGGGATCACTTGGATCGGTCGAAGAAATAGCTTCTGCGGGGGCGCACGGCCACCATCCATGGATGGGTGCTGCACGAGGACGAGGTCGTGGGAGATGAAGACGAGGAAGTGGTGTTGCATCTGCCGCGAGTGATTGTGTTGGACTTCCAGACGAAGGAGTGGCACCTGCCCAGGTGGGAGCTGGGGCTGTATCCGATCTCCCCATCGATAGGGCGGCAATGGTTCTTGGACGGGTATCTGAAGCATCCAGTCTTGAATGTGAAACGCGCCCAATTTATGGCAACCCCGGCTTTGGCAGTAACGGCGCACTCTGCCCAGGGCCGAACCATGGCAGCGGTGATAGCAGACCTCGAAAGAGGGCGCGGCGTGAGTTGGATGTCCAGTTACGTTGCCATCGCGCGCGTGCGGAGGCGGGAAAACTTGTTGATTTTCAGGCCCTTCGACAGGAAGCCGCACAACGCGGGAGAGATGCCAGGCGCGCAGAAATTGTTGTAGGCGCTTCGCGGGGATAAAGTGGACTGGGGGGAGTGGAGGCGAAGCTGATGCCGCGCGATCAGCTTGGGCGTTGCCGACGACGGCTGCTGGTGGAGGCGTTCACGAAGTGCGAGTTCCAGCGGCAGGAGAGGCCGGCGTTTTGTAAAGAGTGCACCGCCGAGGTGAAGAGCCGGGACGAGAAATGGCGCAAGACGTGCGACGGATGGGCAACGACAGCGCAGGGCGATGGAGGCGCGCAGGAGGGCGGCGATGGGGGCGTGGCAGGTGTTGGCGACGGGGTCGACGCGAGAATAATTCTGACCTTGTACTGTGTCAAGTGCAGCGGTGTCAAAGGGCAACAGAAGTCTCGCCGTTGCAGCGCGAAATGGGCCGAGAGCGTGGGCAAAGTGTGTTGTTCGAGCGGCGACTGTCTGGCACTATTCCCAGAGGAGGCGGATATGTCCGAAGCCCGGAAGAAGCACGAAGCAGCAGGGGAGAGGTTGTGTCGGAAATGCGCGGAAGAACGCGAGAGGACGACGCGCGAGTCGAATAATAGGAAACGCGTGGGCCAAGTGCTTTGTTGGAACGATGACTGTCTGGCGGCGTGCCCAGAGGAGGCGGAGATGTCCGATGCTCAAAAGAAGCACAAAGCAGCAGGGGAGAGGCTATGTCGGAGGTGCGCGGAAGAGCGCGAGAGGACGACGCGCGAGCTGAATAATAAGAAGCGGAAAGCTGAGGCGGGCGCTAAGCCGCTGGCGCGCGCGGCGTGCGGAGGAGCGTTCTCGGACACGAAACATTTGAAGCCGGCGCAAGTGGAACATCATCGAAAGACGAAACAACTCAAAGTGGCGTGCGGGGGCTGTGAGAAACTCGGGTTCACAGCGCGCAGTTGCCGAGCGTATCAGTGCAGCGGCGCGTTCGAGAGGAGACTACCGAAGTCGGCGTTTCCCGGGAACCCTGCCCATGTCGCGCGCGTCGAAGAGAAGGGCACCCTGAAATGCAATACATGCAACTGATGCCCAATCGGGCGCGCGTGCTGGGGAGAAGGAGGACGGGGAGAGGAGGAGGAGGAGGAGGGGGGGCGGAGGATGGGGGGGAGAAGAATCGGAGAGGATCGGGAGGAGGAGGAGGGTGGGGAATGAAACGAAGGGAGAGGAGAGGGGGACGAGGAGGAGGTGGAGGAGGAGGAGGAAGAGGAGGGGGGGGATACTGAGATGAGGCTTTGGGTTCTGGGTTATATGTTAGAGGCTTCTTGTTTGTGTGTCGGGGTATCGCGGCACGGCTCTCGGGGGCCTCTGGAAGGCAATGTTGAAGCCACCTGGGGGCCGAGGTGGAGGGGGGGGGGGCGAGGGGGGCACAGAGAGAAGGCTCAGAGTCTTGGGTTATGGGTTAGAGGCATCTTGTAGGTGTATCGGGACCTCGCGGCACGGCTCTCGGGGGCCTCTGGAATGTAGTTTTGAAACCACTCGGGGGCCGTTTCGGAGCCTCGGGGGGGTTTCTTGGGGGTTCTTTGGGGCGTCTGGGAGAGTCTTGGGGGCCTCTGGCGGCTTCTGGGGGCACAGTTGGGGCTGCCTGGGGATCCTTGGGGCGGAAAGCTAGCTTTTTCTAAATGTTTGGTCGCCCTCTTGGGCTTCTCTGGATGCACTCTTGGAACCCTCTAGGGCCGTCTTGGGGGCCTTTGGGGCCGTCATGGGGCCATCTGGGGCCGTCTTGGGGCCGTCTTGGGTGTCTCTTGTGCCGTCTTGTGGCTGTCTTCGGGGCCTCTTGGGCCGTGTTGGAGCGTCGGGAAGCCGGAGAGGCCAAAAGGCAAAAAACACAGAAAAGCACAATGGAAAACCAACAATCTTAGCCTCTTGAGGCCCTCTTGGAAGGCTTGTTTGGGACCTCTTGGGCCGTCTTGGAGGCCTCTTGGCCAATCTCGGGGCCATCTTGGGCGTCTTGGAGCACATGTGTGGCGTCTCGGGGCCCTCGTGAGCCGTCTTGGAGGCCTCTTGGGGCCTTCTTGCCCCGTCTTGACGCCCTCTTGGGTCCGGAGAAGCCTCGTGGTGCGCTCGCGCCGGGCCGGGGGGGGGTCAAATCTCCGGTTTGGGGTCCCGGGGGGGGGGGTAGGGGGGGGAAACTATCTCACACGCCTAGAGACCCACAAGGGGTCGGCGGATTTCCGAGCTGCTGCAGATGAAAGGCCGTTGAACAAATGGTGGGATAGCTTGGGCATTACGTTTGGGAATCGTAATGGTAGTTCTGATGGCAGTGCAACTGTGATCCAGGTATGTTATGGTGGCAACTTCGCAGTGCGCATGGACAATATTCGGGCGGTGAATTATTATCTGTGGCCGCGGCTGGTGGCCAGCCTTGCGCGCAATGATAACATTGAGGAGGGCCACTATGCAGAACGCACGTGGGCTGGACTACTTGCCCAATCGACTCCTCCTGTAAGGTTGACATTGTGTCCTCCAGTATATAGACGTTTCGCTGGACGCATGTGCTCTAAGAAATCATGAAGCCTTAGATCGATGAGATAGTCGCCTGCCAGCAATCCCAATCGTATACCCACCAACGCCTTCTTGCATCCTGGTGCAGGCGCAGTCTCTTCCAGCGTTGCTTCTTGCATCCTGGTGCAGGCGCAGTCTCTTCCAGCGCTGGCGCGGCGCAGGCATTCAGGAATGAATGCGCCGCCTGCCAATCTAATACACCGATTGCCTTTTATACACCGATTCTACAGGCTTGCGCCACATCCGCCGACCCCTATATCTACGTAATGGCCTTCGGCCCATCCCGCCGCCGTGCCTGGGTTGTGGGTCATAGGCCTCTTGGATGTTCGTTGGGGTCTCGTGGGAAGCCTCTCGGGAGCCTCCTAGAGGCAGTTTTGAGGCCTCTGGGGATCGTTTTGGGGCCTCGTTTAGGCCTCTGGGGAGCCTCTTGAGGCCTCTTGGGGGGCCTCTTGGGGGCCTCCTCGGGGCTTCTTGGGGCCGGAGGCTCGGATTTTCGGTTCGCGTTCCCCTTCTTGGGCCCCTCTTGAGGCTGTCTGGGGGCCCTCGTGGGCCGTCTTGGGCGCCTCTTGGGCCGTCTTGGGCGCCCTGTGGGGCCGTCTTGGGGGCCCTCTTGGAGGCTTCTTGGGCCGTCTTGGAGTGGTCTTGGAGGCTTCTAGGGACGTCATGGAGCGGCGGAAGGCCGAAAAGGCGAGAATACCAAAATCCTCCACTGATTTTTTCAGAACGTGTATGATTTGGCCTCTTGGAAGTGCTCTTGGAGGGCTCTTCAGCCGTCTTGGGGCTATTTTGGGCGTCTTGGAGCGATCTTTCAGAGACTCGGGGCCTTCTTGAACCGTCTTGGGTGCGTCTTGGGGCCCTCTTGGGTCGTCGGGGGACCCTTAATCCCCCCAGGCCTGGGGGGGGGGTCAAATTCCCAGTTTTGGGGCCCCTGGGGGGTGGGGGAGAAAGAATTTTTGGAGGGGAATCTCACGCGCCCAGAGACCCACGAGGGGTCGGCGGATCTGCGAAAGCCTTGGAAGTGCGCTCACGCGCCCGCGACCGCCGCTAAACAGGTAGACAAGATGTTCGCGCTCGCGGGCCAGGCGCTAAACGGTAGGTGATGTCGCATGCGAGGTAACCTCTTTTCTCTCCTCTCCACATCCTCCCAGCAGCTTGGCAGCGTGCAGCTAAACATCTGTTCAACTGTTGTGTTTAAACCAGCTGGAGGCGCAAAGTCCGGCCTCACTGAGAGGATCAGCTGGGATAAACATTGAGCAGTTGTTTGCATGGCTAATTTAACCTGTATATTCAGTCGGATCCGCAAAGGACGGCCTCACTGAGAGGATCGACTGTTTAAACGCAGATTTTAAGGACGACGGACGACGACGACGACGTCGACGACGACGACGACGACGACGGGCGACGGACGACGGACGACGGACGACGGACGACGGACGACGGACGACGACGACAACGACGACGACGACGATGACGACGAAGACGACGACGACGGACGACGGACGACGGACGACGGACGACGGACGACGGACGACGGACGACGACGACGACGACGACGAAGTCCAGCGGCCTGGCGGTTTGATGGCGTCGCCGCGCCGGTCGGCCGAGCTGCACGCAGCGGCTCCGAGGGGCCCCGGGGGGCACAGAAGCTGCCTCCGGCCGCCCTCTCCCTCTTCGTCCTCGTCGTCGTCGTCGTCGTTCTCGTTCTCCTTGTCGTCCTCCTCATTCTCCTCCCCGTCCTCCTCCTCGTTCTCCTCGGCGTCGTCCTCCTCGTTCTCCTCGTCGTCCTCCTCCTCGTCGTCCTCCTCCTCTTCCTCCTCCTCCTTCGAGTTTTCTTTCCGATTCCGAGCGACCTTTGTCGATCTTCGGAGTTTTCTCCTCCTCCTCCTTTGACCTTCGTCGATCTTCGGAGTTTTCTCTTCGATTCCTCTCGCTTCGCGGGGTGCACGTCCGGAGCGCGTCAAGACTGATCGTTGGGTGGTTTGCCCTGCACGCCTGCCGCGTTGGTCTGCAGTGTCGTTTTGCCCGAGCGACAAGTCGGCACCCCTCACGCGGATGGCGTTGCAGAGGGAGACCCAGCCGCGGCACGGTGCTTTTATGTGATAAGGGACGGAGGGGGAGGTGTTTGGACGAGAAAACAGGAGTGATAATGTGGAAAGAACAATGTGGAGATTTAAAGGAAGAGGGCAGGGCCAAGGAGTGACGGAAAACACATACCAAGTCCCCGCAGAGTGGCAAGTGAAGAACAAAGAGGTAGACCAAGGAAGAGGAGGACATGAGAGGCGAGAGAGGGGTTGGGGCAAGCAGAGAAAAGAAGCGATACAACAACACCACGGACATTAGCACGCGCGGTGGGTTAGCTGGGCGGTCCTGGTGCCAGCTGGTTCACCGCGAACAAGGGGTGGGGGAAGGAGCGGCGGGGATTGCATGTCAAACCGATTGCCGACTCGAATTGGGAGTGGGGTAGGGGGGGTATTGATGAAACGGAGGTCGCGGCAGAAAGTGGCCCAGGAGCCCAGACAGGAAACCCGACAATGATGTAAACCAGACGTGGGGGCATGGGGGAACCGTTCCGGGTCGGCAATTGGTTCGAATGAAGGATCCTCCTCTCGTACGGCCCTCCGTCACCATACCTTCTTCTACTTATCGCCCTCCTCATGTCCTCCCGCATCCCCCTGTCATCTCCGTGTGTTGCTCTCATTCTTCGTCCCTCGCTATCCTCTCACCCCTCCTCCCACCCTCACGTTGTCATCATTATTCGTACTCCTCCTCATCCTCATTGATATCCTCATCCTTTATCCGCCGTACCCTCTCACCGCATCCACACTCATCACTTGCAATCATCACCGTCGTTCCTTATCCTCATTCCTCCTACTCCGCCTGATCCGCTTCCAGTTCCCAGTCTGACGGCATCCCTCTGAACGAAATCGCTGCCCCTGGGGCCACCCAGGAGGGGCGAGATCAGACGAGCGGGCAGGCGGAGAGCAGACGAATGGGCAGGCGGAGGCACTCTGCGACCGCGCAGGCCTTGTCGGTTAGGCGCCTGCAAGCAACGTGGGCGACGTCATCTCCGTCGCCCGCTGGATTCTAGATGCGCTCGAAAACGCGCAGTCGAGCACTGGCCAACGACCCAATTGATGGCGGGGCTCCTGGGGGTGCGTTTGCTTTGGGGATGTGCTGTTTCTCTCTGTCCTGGTGGCCCCCCCTGGGAGAGCGAGGCCGTGGGGCATTAGCGGGCAGACGGCCCTGAGGTGCCGACACCAGCGAGCCTGGGGCGCCGATGCCAGCTGGCAAACAACAAAAACAGCGAGCTTGAGAGGCTGGGCGGTGCACAGGGGGCGGCCTAAGAGGCCGAAACCAGCGGGCCGATCTTCTTCTGGATGCCGTCGTGGAGCTGATTCAGCTTCCCGCCGAGGTTGGACGTGAACTCCATATACACCTTCGCCACTGTGACGACCATCGCCGAAGGGTCTTTGACCTTCTTGTATGTGTTCATGATCATCCAGCTCGTGTGCGTGACCTTCGCCTTCTTGATACGTCGGCCTCCTCCTGTGACCACGAGACCCCTGGAATGCCGTAGGCCTTCAACTGAACGTTCAGGGCAGCAAACTCCTAGGTGCACGCTGGATGATGTACTGTACTATGCGATGCAATGTCATGGCGGGATGTTCCATGCTGTGTTGTGTTGTGAAACAGGGTCCCAGAACATAGCATCGCAAAGCATAGCAATGGCAATGGCAATATGAACGCATGCGTTGCATTACGTCGACACAAACATCAGATGGCCGTGCCGATCCAAAAACCACAGTGCCGCGTAGCACGCTACTGCATAGTGTAGCATACCCGCATCGCATAGCCATGAATAGCACAACTTGGCACACCAGGGTTGCGTGCGATTGCATTGCGCAGCATTTCAAGCGATATCATCGCATGCCATGCCGCACTGCCATTATTCCCAAACCAGTGCTTGCACCTGGGGTCCTTACTTGGCTTAACCATCTCGGGGTGACTGGCGGCTTTTGCGGGCGGTGCCGCCCGTCGCCGCCGTAGCTGTCGCCGTCGCTGTCTCCGCCGTTTGGGGCGATTGGCGGTTTTTGCGGGCGGCGCCGCCCGTCGCCGCCGTCGCCGTCGCCGTCGCCGTCGCCGCCGTTCGGGGCGAGTGGCGGCTTGTGCGGGCGGTGCCGTTCGTCGCCGCCGTCGTTGCCGCGTGTATTGCACCACATATCCTATGTTACGCGCATTTGGTTCCAGAACTCGCTGCGCGCGTAGCGTGGCCGACCCGCGTACGGTCACACATGTGTGGCCGTACCCCCGCGGTACGGCCACACATGTGTGGCCGTACCGCGGTGCTTGGCCGCGCGCGTCGGCCCAGGCAGCGCGGGTGGCCAAAGCGCCTTTGCGGGAGGAAGGTGCGGATGAGATGGGGGAGTAGGAGTAGTAGGTGTAGTAGGGGCAGGAGCATGAGGAGGGACATGAGGAGGAACAGGAGGAGGAGAGGAAACTGGCAGCAGACAAAGCGGAACATCGACATGTGGAGAGGAAGCGGTGAGGAGGCGACGGAGGACGGCGAGGAGCAGCACTCGCAACTTGTGGGGCACGAGCGTGTCCTTGTTCCCCGAGAGCAGGGGCAGAAGCAGGAGGAGGAGGAGGGGGGGGCGGCGCAGGAGGAGGCGGAGCAGGACAAGTCGGATAAGGAGGAGGTGGGCCAGGAGGAAGGAGAGGAGGAGGAGGAGGAGGAGGAGGAAGAGGAGGAAAAAGAGGAAGGGGAAGAGGAGGCAGACGAGGGACGACGACACTTTGCGGGGGTGGGGCACGGTCGCTGCCCATGCAACGACATTGCGCATACATGCTGCAGCCGTGTCGGTTCCGAGCTCGCGCGGCGGGGCGGCGGGACCGTGCGTGGGTTCCTTGCCGTTTGGGCGGCGGGCGGCCCGCGTCTCGCGCCGCTGTGGCGGCTGCCGTTGCGTCGGCAATGCCCTCGCATCGGGAGTTCTTCCACTCGTACACGTTCGAAACGGCAAACGTGCACGTGTGGAAGGCGGTCAGACAGGCGTTCACGTCAGACCGTATATTGACGAACAGAACGGTCAACTGGGCTTCGGCTCACTGGGATGATTATGTCCGCAGTGTGTGGGTACGGTGGCTCAATGCTGCAAGCTTGGCGTCAGCTCGGCTCGCCTTCAGCCGCCTGCTCGAGGAGCACTTGCGGGGTACTCCGCGTTGGAACCGCTGGCAGGTGGTCGGCCATCCGGCCGACTACAGCCCTGTAGGCGCGATGCCCGTCGTTTCGGCGGCGCTCGGCGTTGCGCCCAGCGCTTCAGACGGCGTTCCTGGTGAGGAGATGGCGTTGGCCGTTGCGGCGGCCAGCGTTGCTGCGCGGCGGGTGCGCGGCTTGGTCTTGAGTGGCGGGTTCGCGGCGTTGTCGCGGCGCGCCGTCTACCCCTTGGGCGAGTTGTTGGGGGAGGGCTGTCGGCGACGACTTAAAACGTGCGCTCCCACGTCTAGTTTCATCGATGTTGGGGCGAAAGAGGGGCGACTGCCCTTTCAAGGCCGACGGCCGTCGAGGGGGCGGCGGAAGGTCAACGAACGGTCGTTTGCGACGGGGCTTCGAAGGGCGCGCGAGGGGGGCAACGATAATGTCGCGAACCGACCGCTCGCTGACCGCGGGGGCTCCTTTGGGGCCCAGGCGCGGGCCAGGATCCAGGTCTCGAGGGGGAATGCGCGGTCAGGGGTTGCGGGGGCGTGCGTGGATACGCAAATGCTGGATAGCAAGGGCGCGCGAGGGTCGGTCCACGGGAGAGGTTCGCCGGCCGCGGAAGGGGGGCCCGGAGCGCGGCGGACCGCCGAACGTGGGGTAGGCGTTCGCGCCGCAGAAGGTTTTGAGGCGGCTTGCTTGTCTGCGGATTTTTTGTGTCTCCTGAACTAAGAATATCCCTTCTTGGCGTCTCCCGCGTCGCGGTCCGAGCGCAAACGACGTGGATCTTGAGAGGGCCCCGTCGACGTATTGTTTTCGTTGGTTGTTGCGGCGCCCCGCAGGAACAGACGGCGACGTTTTCGCGGTCGCTGAGGCGTCGGGGGAGATGGCGGCAGCAGCGGCGGGGGGCGCTGCTTCGGCGAGGGAGCCTCAGGCCGTTTCGGCGGCCAGCGAGGTGCTGGCCGCTTCGGCGGCCCAGGCGGGGTTCGGGCTGGTTGTCGAGCGCTTGCGTCGAGACGACCTCGAGGACCACCCGTGCTTACTCCAATGTCTGCGCGAGATTGCTGTGCGCGACGCGTTCCGCGCCTGCCCTCGCATGGCGCAGTTGTTGGGCGTGTTTGCTGATCGACGCAACCGGGTCGGTCCGGTGCTGGAGCACGCAGGCGCGGACCTTCATGCGTTAA